AATACAGCCTATGGTCTTCCTTCCTCAAACCCACACCCTGGCCAATAATCAGAAAAACAACAATAACAATAAGAACTAAGGGACATGCTACAAAACATCTACCCAGTATTCCCCAAAACTGACAAGATTATTTAAAAAACCTAAGAAATTGCCCCAGGCCAGAGGAAATTAAAAAAGACATGAGGACTAAATGTAATGTGACATCCTATATGGAGATTCTGAAACAGGAAACCAACTTTAGGGAAACACTAGTGAGCTCTGAGTATAGTGTGGAGTTTTGTTAATAGTAATTCACCAGTGTTCCTTAATGGCAACACATTTAACATGATAATGTAAGAGTTAGCAACAGGAGGGACATATAAAAACTCTACTATCTTTGCAACTTTTCTTTAAATCGCTGATTTTCCAAAATAAAGAATATTAAATATTCACAAAATTGAGTCTACAGCACCAACATATGGCCCGTCATATGAACACTGCACCTTTGATTATAGCCACAGGGAGAAGCCCAGGCTGGGATCCTGATCATTCTGCATGCTGACCAACAGACACCTTTGGACAATTTGGGAACCTGTCTGAGATGCCAGGAGACCACAGATGGCATGCATGTGACAAGAACAAACATCTCAGAACTGCCTCACACCCCCATCTGAAGTGAAAAATAGGCAATTTTATGCAAGGAAAAAAACAAAGACTAAACAGGCTGGCGGGGAGCCATCAGCGCTCTGTGAAAACACATGACAAAACAGCCTCCTACCTCATACTTCACTTAGCAAATGCCACTGCCAGAACCCATGTAGGTGTGAAAAAATTATACAGACTCAACAGGGTTTTTCCTTACCATGAGTAAGGAAAAATCAGAAGGGTAGGGACATAGAATTCCTTCAAAGCTTTGTGAGAGAAGGTAGTCCACATGAAAAAATGATTTCTTCAACCAAACAGCACATAAATTATTACCTATTTTCAAGATTCCATCCAGTCAGGGAACACATGGTACCATACAGGCCATGTTTTGTAAGGAGGTGGTAAGGCTTTGAAGTGCTGATCAAGAAAGAAAAATGTTTCATTTTTATAGACCACACATGTGGCATGATAGTGTTTGCTGCAGTAGATTTAATTGCCCTGAATTTCAATCCAAAAAGAAATCTGGGGACTTATCTGGTGTAACCAGAAAGTTCCACAATTTATGAACTACATGAATATGTAGCACTCATCAGGCCAGGGAATTAAAATATAAATGTCTTTAAATTTTTTCAGAAAATTAACACACTATCAATCAAATCATAATAGCTTTTTTGGAAGCTTGACCAAATTTCTTTTAAAATTCATCTGAAAGAAAAATGTTTCAGAAAAACCCTGAGAAACACTAAGAGTAGTGATGATAGTGTATCAGCACACACACACTTACCACACAGCTCTAGTTATTAAGAGAGCATGGCTGTAAATATGGAATAGACGGATGTACCAATGGAAAAACAAAATATCTGAAAACCAAACGTCACAAACTGATCTGTTTATTCAAACATTTGAGTCCCTGCTACATAGGGGCAATGTTGATTGTTCCCTGATGGTAAAACAAAAGGACAAAGTAAGTCACAGAAGGATAAAATAGCCAGAAGCTGGCTAACTGTATAAGGAAAAAATTAAGTTGGACATTCTTAAATCTTATATCCAAATGCATCTGATGTGAATATGAAATAAAACTCCTAGCATTATAGAGTAAAACATAGGTGAATATTTACATACAATTTCATGAGGGGAAAAATGAGAGTTCAAGAACAATCAATGTGAAATATGTTCATCTAAATGTCGAGAGGCATGGTTAAATAAATTACCATCTAGCTAAGTAATGGAAGGTTAGGCAGCCACTAAACTGTTGTTGAAGAAATGCATTTATTAACATTTTAAATGCCAGTATTTAGTAAAAAGGTTAAGTTATAAAATGTGTATACAGAAGAAACAGATCTAAATGTAGGTATTAAAGAACGTATAGAAAATATCTGTCCAATATTCCTTAAATTTATCTATAATGTTATTGAAGACCTTAGTCAAAGTTGGGTTTTTCTTTCCATGGAGCATAATTCTAATATCTATATGGAAGAGCAAAATGTAAAGAGTAGAGATAATTTTAAAGAGTAACAGAGAGGGTATTATTTGTAGTTTGTATCTAGATGTCCCCCCAATAGCCTCATACACTCAAAAGGTATGGCTTTTGAACGGTGATTGGTGTATGTGCTGCCGAAGAAAGCACTTCTGAACGGTGATTGGGTTGTGGGGACGTACAGCTGACTTGCTGTTAGGAAGTGGATCTGGTTGGAGGAGGCAGGTCACTAGTCTTGCCTGGAAGGGCGGTATGTGTCTCCCTCCCCAGCTTGGTCCTTCACTCTCTGCTTTGTATCTGCCATGTTTGTCTGCCTTGCTTATTATAACCAGCTTTCCTCTGCCATGCTGTCCTGCCCTGGCAGCTGACTATGGACCTAAACTTGTACAAACTGTGAGCCAAAATAAACCTTTTCTCCTTTAAATTGCAGGTGTCAGCTATTTTGTCTCAATGACAAGGAAAGTAACTAAGAGGGGATTTAAATTACCAGACAACAAGATATAACAAATAAATGAAAACATAATAAAGCAAGTATGAAAGTGAAGCAGGAAAAAAAGAAATGAGACCAGTGGAACAAAACTAAGAACTCATCCCTGAAAATCTATTCAAATTGGAAGCTTACATGACAGAATGGCACTGCATTACCAGGTGTGGCCAATACATGATGCTATGACAACTGCTTGTCCATAAGAAAAACAAAATTGGGGCTGTTATGGTTTAGATCTAAAATATCCCCCAAAAGTCTTATGTATTTAGAGCTGGGGTTTTCAGAAAGTGATGGGATTACAGGAGTGGATTAATCACTGATGAGTTTAGGCTGAATGTGCTCTTAGGAGGTTGGTCACTGTAGATAAGACCCAAAAGGTGTATCTCTGGCCCAGCCCCCTCCCTCTCCCTGGTTCTTCCTGTTCTCTTTCTGCTCCCTAACTGTCATGGAATGAGCAGCCTTCCTTGGCTATGCCCATCTTCCACATCATTTCTGTCTTGGAGCCAGCTGACTATGGACTGAAATCCCTGGGCCAAAATACATCTCTCCTTTAAAGTGCAGGTGTCAGGTATTTTGTCTCACCAATGGAAAAGCTGACCGATACATGTGCCTACACCTCATCATGGTATATGCAATACTCCATTTTAGGTGGACTGCAGATGAAACTGTGTAAAGCAAAACATTAAAACCTTTAGTAGAAAATAGATAATACTTTTATGTAACTTCAGCCCAAGGAGGAATTTTAAAAGACACAAACAATGCCCAAAAGAACTGATAAATTTTATTGGTTAATAGAAAAATTCTACTCCATAAAAGGTATTATTTAAAAAGTGAACAATCAAGCCAAAATCCAGAAGATATTTGTATCTATATAGAATATATGCAGAATATATAAAGACTGCCTATAAATCAGTAACTAAAAGACACCAATAGAAAATGGCCACATGATATACACTTCAAAGAAGAAACCCAGATACCTAAAAAACACATCTCAATCTTACTAATAATAGTAATCAGTAAAATTCTAATTAATAATCAGTAAAATTCTAATTAAAACTACAACTAAATACCATTTCATGACTGTAATACTGGCAGAATTTAAATCTGACAAAGACCAGACTTTGGAGCAAGATATAAGCACTTCTGAGAGCAATTTCATTATAACTGTTGAATTTAATATTGTACATATGCTGGGACCCTGGAATTTTCTGATTATACATCCAAGATGAACTCTAATACATGCATTAAGGAGATACATAAAAGAATGCACAGAGCCACATTTTTTCCAATAGTGCAAGGTTGCAAAAACCTAAAGATCTGTCAGTCAAAAACTATATTTAAAACCTGTGACATTTATAAAATGGAATACTGTAAGACAATTAAAATGAGTGAATTAGAGCTATAAATATTACTGTAAATAAATCTCAAGATCATAATATTGGGTTAAAAAGGCAAGTTCAGACAACGCATACAACATAGACTTGGTAAGGTGGAGGTGTGCTGCCGAGCTCCAGAGTTAGCACAGAAGGGCTGAGTACCCTACCCCAGCTGCTGGGAGTGTCGCAACCTGTGGGCTCTCTGCTGCAAAGAGTTCTCTCTCCACTTCACATGCTCTCCCCAGAGGCAGCCTTCACCTACTAACTGGTCAGTGTAAAGCTACAACAGCCAGGCCCTCACCTCAACTCTCTACCCCACCTTCAGCACATCCACGGGGGTCAGTAGAAGCCTTCCTGTTAGCTGCAGCACAGCCCAATCTCTCACCTTGCCCAAGCCTACTTCCTTCTTTTCCACAGCATTGACCCTAAAATCTTTTCAACACCCTATATCTTCACCTTCACAACTTCTGCCTCCTTACAACCTGACTTGTAACAGATACAATTTACATCTTGTTTGAAAACAAGTTATAGGAAACAGGAAGACAGATCTTTTGCAAATCTAGGGGACCAAGAAATGGGATACAAGGAGAATTAAACGAATTAAGACGTGTTATGTATGTGTACCAACTCCCCATGATGAATGTTACCATTATGTATTTTAAGTGTGTACTCATAAAAATTTTTAAAAACAAAACCCATATTCACCACTGCAACACATGACACAATACTACTTATGTTTGAGAATACATGTATATACTTAGCACGTTACAAAAACATGCATGGCAATGATAAACCCCAAATTCAGGATAGGGGCTAACCTCTGGAAGGTAGAAAGAAGAAAGAGCTTATAGAAGAATATACACAATGTTTCAATAACTACATAAAGTACCACCTTAATTCTTATACTGAATACTATACACATACATACATTATATATTATTCCTTGTGCTTTCTTTGCATTCCTGAAATATGCAATAATTTTACAAAGTAACTTTAAAGAAAAGGAACAAGTTGCCCCTTGTCAACCATTCTCTACCTTCTTTCTGCTCCAATACACAAGACAGATGACATCCACATTCACATGACCAGCAGTGTCAAGGCTTTCCAGCATCCTGAAACAAGAACAAAAACTTTCCTGATGAAAGTGGAAAAGAAAGAGCTGAAGACTTTTTCTTTCTTTTTAAATGTGGCAATCTCGAAAAGTATTTACAAGCTTGTGGTCCTTCTGCTGTACCAGCAGTCATCATTTGAAACAGACCGTTGACACAGATAGGATAAAATAATGCATAATTTCTACAGTAATTCCATTTACCTTTCCCCTGCTGAAGAAATGATCAAATTCCAAGTGAATGAGAGTAAAATTATAGGGATAACTTGAATTTTGTCAGATTTTACACATAATGGCACAATGTATAAAATGTATACTGGCATAATGTGTAAAATTCTATGAATTTGGATATTTAACTGCCATGAACAAACCACATGAAAATGTCTAAAAAGTAGAATTCAGAGTAAAAAGAGATGCCTAGGACTATTATTTCTAAATTTAGAACATTTTCCAATGCAGAAAGTATTATGGTATAAATATGGTTATGTAAAATACAATGTGCTTATGATTTTTCTATATATAATCTCAATAACAAAATAGATTACTTGAGAGAGCGCCAACACTAGACCACCAGAGAGCGTCACAAAATAGATTACTTGAAAATTTTAAATCAAACTAAAGATATGGTCACTTGATATTCAATAACAGATAAAACCGAATTATTTCCCTAAACTTATTAGATCATTCTTCAATGGCCAATTTCACTGTTAAGAATATTCCACTCTCTAATAAAGAGTCCCAGGTTCCTAAGATTGCGTCACAGAAATAACACTTTATCTTATTCTCACCCAGCATTCTGAGCTATGACATCAAAACACCATGTAAGAGGATCTATAAAGATGGACGACTGAGGTAGGGAGGAATGAAAAAATTCAAAGATTGTTTACATTACTAAATTGAGGCAAGTAGGTTTTATACAAATCCAAAGCATCAAGCAGAAATAATTCAATTTATCTTTAATCTATTATTAATTACTCAGGAGCCCCACTGAGAAACTAAAGTCTCCATATGTGTTTAATATAAAAGATTTATAGACATAGTTGCAAAGGAAAAAATAAAACCAAACTTTCAGATGTTTCGATACATAGTAATCCCATTTACTGATGTTTGTGATGTCTTGTACAATAGTGATGTATGTAAAATGACTACTTGGGAATGAAATCTTTCTTTTCTATATGTTTCGAGTGTTAACACTGTAAAAAAAAAATCTTTTTCATTATGTTTGCTTGGTAATCTTTTCATTCGTGAACTTTCGGCCACATTTTAGAAAGGAATTCTAACCTCAGTTCAGGTTAGCAACAATATAGGCACGCCCTCTGGTGGTACAAAGAGAAATTGCCTGTTTACAATGGCACTCTCGCTCATGTCCTCCTTGGGTTTTCTAACACTGAACAGGTATATTGCTCACTGCATTTTACCGCAACTTGCTTCCTTGAGGCATCTTCCTTGCCTGAGAACACCAATTCAAGTCCAAAGGTCATTAGGTCATTAGCTTCCCACCATAGCACAAGACCTACAGGGTTTATTCAACCTGCACTTTTTGTTACCAAATTTCTAAGATGATATTCAAATAAAGCAGACATGGACAACATATTACTAAAAGATGCACCTGAAGCAACAGGTCGAACCTAATTTTAAGTTCTACTGTTTTGGTGGTGTTTCAAAGCAACTATTTGGATAATATTTTCATATTTAATATTGTATATTCTCTTAACAAACAGTAAAGTGAATGGGCAAAATTTTTCTTAAAGAGCTATTTTCCACATTATTTTCTCAATATTATCAAAAAGTATATAAAGATTGTATTTTGAGTATTATCAATCTACTTGTTACTAAAAGTACTTCCTTGAAAGACAGGCAGAAATAATTAGAATTCCTAAAATAATGAGCTGTCATCTCCAGTTACATCCTAGTATCAATGGATTTGAAAATGGGGGTTTAGTCTGTGTGTTAATAACATGTCCTAAAATTTTCAAACACCTTTATTATATGCAGTATCTTCATCATGAATTTGATTAAAAATACTGTATCTCCTTTACAGGGTTGTTTTAAAAGTTAAATGAGCTACCTGGGAGCAGTGGTGCAAGCCTGGAATTCTTGCACTTGGGAGGTTTCTGAGGCAGGAGGATCACAAGTTTGAGTCCTGCCTGGGTAACTCAGCAAGACTCTCTCAAGGTAAAATATATAAAGGATGGGGAAGTAGCTCAGTGTAAAGGTCGTGGGTTCAATCTTCACAACCATGCACACACAGAAAAAGTTAAATGAGCTAATCCAAATAGAGGATTTGATACTTTTTTTTTTTTTTTGGTACTAAGGATCGAACTCAGGACCTTGTGCTTGCATGGCAGGTGCCAGAACCACTAAGCTAAATCCCTGGCCCAGGATTTGGGAGTCTTTTCTAATATTTACCCTTTGTATCATCTTTGTACCAAAGAAATATCCCCAAAAGTACTTATTAATGGCAAAAAGGTAGATCAAATAGAAAAAAATAAGAAATTATTAAATTCTTAAATGTGATAGGTTTTCATGTGTAAGAATTTTTCTACTCTAAATGGTCTCAAGTGTCCAATTGCAACTTTCCTGTAAAAGCAGGACCACAGCCCAAGATGCTGCCGCTGGCCGCAGGCTGACCTTCCAGATCACACCACTGTTGTGCTCCTCCCTCACATTCCCTGTGTGTCCTCGCCAAAACTGGACACCAAGTGGGTTAGAGAGATTCAAATTTAAAGCTCAATCATAAGCTGCACTACCCTGGTAAAACCTCCAAAGCAGGTTTCTGGTTTTCTAAATCAATGAGGCAAATCCAATAAAACCTTCGAATCTTGAGTTCCCCACCTCAGCAAATGACACCACTATGTGCTGGGATGGCTAAGCCAAAACCTGAACTTTTCTCCTATATTCTCTATAGTCAGCCAGTTGCAGTCATGCCGCTTCCTGTTACTGAATCTCTTGATTCCTTTCTCTCTTCTTTAATCTTAAGGCTATAGTTTTAGATAAAGCTCTCAACATCTCCCGCCCAACCTGGAGAGCAACCAAATCCCATCATCATCCAAGTTCAGATCTTACATTCCCTCTTCCAAAGCCTTCCCAGCCTCTCCACGCATGCCCCCTCCTCCCTACCAAGGCAGGCTGCATATCAGCCACTGCCTGCCCCAGCCCACTGAGCTAAACCCCCAGCCCTATATTCTATTTTTTTTTCTTTTTTTGGTACTGGAGATTGAACTCTGAACCTTGCGCTTGTGAGGGAGGCACCAGAACCACTGAGCTAAATCCTCGGCCCAACCCAATGGTTTTAATGAGGTATAATATACCCATCATGGAAGTCACTCAATTTAAGTGTATGATATTATGTTCATTATTTATTTATTTATTTATTTATTTATTTATTTATTTAGGTACCAGGGATCGAACTTGGGACCTTGTGCTTGCCAGGCAGGCAGCAGAGCCACTGAGCTAAATCCCCTGCCACCCTGTATACTTGTTTATGTAGCCAATCCCACTGCTAGCCCTGGCCCCAGGCAACCACTGATCTGTTCTAAAGTTTCAGATAAGTAGTATCATACAATATATTGTTCTTTGTATTTGGCTTTTCATCTGGTGTGGTATTTCTGAAGTTCATCCAATGTTGTAGGACATTAACTAGCATGAAGCTTCACTTTCACGGTTGATACGTATTGTCTCCAGTTTTTGTCTACTGCAAATGACAACTGGTATGAATGTTTGGTTTTGGGATGAGTACAATTTTTTATAATTTTACTATGGTGGGTACAACTGATACGCAATAAAGTATACATATCCTAAACTGTACTATATGATGCGTTTCAATGTATTATATACCCATGAAACTATCAAGCACAATGAAGATAATATATATGCAGTAGTTCCAAATGTGATCCTTCCTCAGGAATTCCCCCTCCCAGGCTATCTTCAGGGGCCACTGTTCTGTTCTCCAACATTACAGATTAGTTTGCATTTTCTAGTATTTTATTTAAATGGAATCAAACAGTATGGTCTATCACACTGCACAATTATTTTGGCATTCATACACATTGCTGTATGTGTCAATAGCCCACTTTTTTCATTGGTGAGTAGTATTGCATTGTACAGATGTACCAAAATTTGCTTATTCATTTACCTGCAAATGGATACTGTACTTAAATTTTTTTAGTTTGTGGCATTCATAAAATACAGCTGCTATGTACAGTGTACAATCTCTGCCTCAACATAAATTGTCATTTCTCTTAATAACTCACCTAGAAATGGAACTAAGTTGTACATTAAATATATGTTAAAATTTTAAAGAAATTGCTGAAGTTTCCCACTAGGTTATGGCTACACCATTTGATATTCCTGCTCACTGTGTGGGAGGATTTTCCATATCCTGGCCAATGCTTGGATTGTTAGTCTTCTCAATTTTAGCCATTCTTGTGGCTGTGTAGCAATATCTCATTATGACTTTCAGGTACATATGCCTAATGGCTATTGATGTCTCTGTCTGCAAAGTTTAGTGGTCAGCCAGTGAACTGGGCTGTGGTTGTACCCAAACACCTTATACCTGCCAAGGCTTCCTCATGCTCTGCGGACGGAGCTGTATTTGGGCTGATAGGAGAATTCATTCAAAGTTGCATTGAGCTCTCCTTGACTTTCACCTTTTGCTAAGTTGTCTTCAGTCTGCCATACATTGGTGGAGAGCTTATCTCAGCCTTGCTGTGGTTTCCTCATTTCCAGAATCAACCTGTTAAATTTCTGGCTGATGGCTCCAAACTGGCAAACTGCAAACTCAAGGGAGCAAATATGTAGGTTTTCCACTATGAACCGAGCATGCCATTTTTCACCAGCAAAGCTGTGAGTTTTTATCTGCAACCCAACTTCAAATGGAATCTGTTTACTGCTGGTAAAACTCCATTTCTCACCAACTGGGATAGACTGTCAGGGTAAAAAAGGATCCCCAGGCAAGAGGGCCAGGGACTCTGGCTTTTCTTACTCAAAGCTCTAGCCTAGCAGAAATGTTTTTTTTTTTTTTGGGAACCAGGGATCAAACTCGGGTCCTTTCACTTGCGAGGCAGGCGGCGGAACCATTGAGCTAAATCCCCGGCCCTCAGAAATGTTTCTTAATTTACTGTCTCCCCTTTGGGTTAACAGCACTCAGAAATTAACATTTTGACAATCTTGTTTGGCTTTACGATTGCCTTATTGAGAAAGAGAACCACCTATCCTCTTCATATCATCATTAGTGGAAGCAACCTAGGTTACCCATTTTTTAAATTTTTCAATTTCTCATTACATAGTAAAGTAGGACCATAACACAAAAATAAAGTATGACTATAATTCCACTTCAAGTATCAAATATAGAAATGCTCTCCAAGGCAGATAGAAAATTTATCATCATAACTTGAATATTTTCCATTAAGAGGGTGACTCTTCCACACAGTGCCAGCAAGCTAATGTTAAAGTCCCAAAATAGCCAGATGTTCAGTCATTCTGAAGCTCCTGAGGGATTAAAAATCCAAGGCTCTTGACCACAGAGTTCAATGATGGCTCAAACAGGATCAGTGCTGTGGCGTCTTTAACAAAGCTTGACCCAGGCAAAAAGCAAGTTTTGGAAGATTTTCTTATAAGTAAATTAGTATCGGGTATTATAATTACTCTCAAACCAGATTTTGTTGCACTACACTATTTTCCTGTTATTTCAAATACTATGATAAAATCCTGAAACCTAACTTACCTTTCATACCATTACTTCATATTTATGGGATGAATGCTTTATAGTGGACTAAGCTCTTTCACCTACTACCTCATTTGATCTTTACAAAGACTTCATATGGTAGAAAAAGCAAATATTATCCTCATTGTTATCCTGCTGGGACTGAAATACAAAGGGATTAAGTGCTCCAAATCAGATCTAAAATCTGGATATTCTGGCAAATCTCAGCCTCAATTTCTTTAAATGTTTCAATAACTTTCTTAAAAATAAGGAAAATACATTAGCCCCCAAACACCAGGGTTTTCAACAGTCTCAGGTGAGGAAAATTAGGTTTGTTTTGTTTTGTTTTTGTACCAGGGATTGAACAGGACCTTGCGGTTGCTAGGGAGGCGGTGGCACCACTGAGCTAAATCCCCGGTCCAAGGAAAACTAGTTTTAATATTTGTTTCCTTAACATTCTTAATTATCAGAGTGTGAATGACAATACGGAGCAAGAAGAAATGAAGCTACATATAATTGCAAAACCAACTTTTACCACTGTTAAGTACCAGCTTCTATTCTCATCATCATTTCTACCTGCCCTTATCAGCTTCTCTTTCAATCTATTCCACTCTGGCTTTTGTGCCCACCACTTCACGGAGAGGACTCCTATCAGTGTCATTAGCACCCTCCTCTGCTAAATCCAGTAACTATCTATCTCTCAGCTCACCCTGACCTGGCCCATCAGCAGCACTGACAAGGGGGTCACTTCTGCTTCCCCAAAACACTTTCTTCCCTAGCATCTAAATATCACAATGCTCATTCCCTGTCCACCCCTTCCCCTCTCTCCTTTGCTGATAGTGTCTCATTCCTAATCCCAGGTCTGAGGCAGTACCTTTTCTCTAGCTACTCTCAGCACCCCCTCCTTGATATTCTCAGACTTTCCTGTGACTTTCAGTAACAGTTAAAAGTTGGTGACTTCAACTTTGCCTCTTCAACCCTGACCACTCAATGAACTCCAGACTCTGCCTACTTGACCTTTCTGCTCAGATGTCTAAAGGAGGATCTCAAACTAAATGCGTCCCAAACTGAGCTCCTAGTGCTGTCCCAAACTAGTTCTGCCTCAACTTCCTACTGCCAGTTCCAGCAACACACACAACTCCACTCTTCATTATACAGGCTGAAACTTTGGAATCAACCTTGATACTGCTCTTTCTCTCATCCTTCTCATCACTTCCCTGGTTTACGGTCCAGGCACATTATCTGTGACCTTGGAGTAGCCTGCAACAACCTGGACTTGGTCTCTCTGCTTCCATCCTTGCAAATGTCCCCATCCCAAAGGCAAATCACAGCAGCATCAAAGAAAACATCATGTCACTTTCCTTAAAATTCACCAGTTCCTTTTCATCTAAACTAAAACCATTCTAATAATCACTACTCACATGATGTGACCATCCATTTCCTCTCTTCTCCTCCTCTCCCCTTGCACTCATTCCATTCCAGTCATTAGCCTCCTTCTACCATTCAAGAGAGCTAGGCATGCTGCTGCCTCCAGGTCTTTGCACTTGTTCTTCCCTTTGCCTGAAATATACTTCCAATTATCCACAGGGCTCTCTCCCTCACCTTCTGCAAGTATTTCCTCAAATACCATCTTTTCAGTGGACCTTTGAATGGGCTATTCCCTGAATAACCTATTTATCACTGTACCCCCAACCCTAGCCAGCCTCACATTTCTCCAAAGCGCTTACTGCTTTATAACATACTATGTCTACTTAATTGTGCTATGATTACTTATTTATTTGCTCTTAGTCCATGTCTCTCTGCTAAAATGCCAGCTCCATGAATGCAGGAAGTTTTGTTCATTCTGTTGACTACTATGTGCTTTGGACACTGGCACATGCTAGGTATTCGATAATACTTGACAAGTCATAGAATCATACTTGGAAAACAATATGGATTTTCATTCACTGGTCCTTATATAGGCCAGAAAGTTGTAGGACTACAGAATGCTATGTAAAGGATGGCTAAGAATGCTGACAGTATATGAAGATACAGACTAGTTCCTTCCAAAAGAAAATTCAAGGCATAGGTAATTTTAAATTTTCTAGCAGTAACAAGGAAATAAGTAAAAGAGTTGAAATTAATTTTCTTGTCTTATATCTCCCAAAGCATTTCATCATGCAATTCATCCAAAAATTATTAATAAAATATTTGCATCTTCTTAATATTAAGTCTTTGAAATATGGTGCATATTTTATACAGAGCACATCTCATTAGTACTACCCACAAATGCTCAAATGCAAATGCTCAATAGCTACGTGTGCCCAGCAGCTCCCATGTTAACAGGACAGCGCAGATTTGGACCAAAACTAACCTCACTGCAGAGAGGATTCTCTTATAAATTAATTTATTCATTGTTTTTAACTTAAGATTCTCAAGGATGTGGTACAGCCTCCTGGATTACTAGCTTTTTCAACATAGTTTGAAAGGATACAGCAAATGGAGTAATTGTTTTTATTTTGATAAACAATTTACATCAAGATAACTTAAGGGCTTTAAACTTATTCAGCTGTTTTGACTAGAAAAAGTAAGTGGCCTTTTTCTCTAGGCTCTTCAATCAAGAAGCAAAGTTAAATCCAGAGAGATTTTGTATATTTCATTTACATTAGTATTTTAAAAATCATCATTTTCCAAAAAAAAATAGAACTACTAAAACTGAAACTCATTTGCATTAAAAGACAATTTTTATATATTTGCACTGAAAAACTTATGAACAATTCCCTTACCAATATTTTTTGCACTTCATAATGTGAAAGTGAAATCAAGCACGAAGAAAAATGCTTTTAAATGTTTAATGTATACATCTAAATCCTATGTTTCTTAGAAGCTAAGGTTATTATGTATGCAAAATGTTTTCAGAACTTTTTATCATCAGGGAATTAATTTCTCCCAGAATCCCATTATTTACAAATAGTTATTAGAATTATCATAATAATTGTCACTATTATTAACAAAATCTAAAGAACCCAATTAAAGTACATAATATTTTAAAACTAAAGTTCCAACACATTACTTTTTTAAAGTACTAAAACATCTACTTACTCAGCTTCCAGGTTATTGTAATCATTTCCCTAAAACAGGTAGCTCTGAGATTGTTCTGTGAGGCAGAGAAACGCCCAAATGGCAAAACATCCCAATTCTTCTAACCCCAAAAAGTAACTCCTGTTGAAAGAAAGAAAACTGGACTTAAAACCAAGATAAACCTCTGGCAAGTGACTGTCTTGATAAACCTGTTTCCTCTTTTTTTTTTTAAGTGAGGGCTCAGAACAAGTTAATTGATGGCCCTGCAGTGTTGGGGACCTGATAGGGCAATACTTGGTATTACAACAGCTTTTCTGTTTTAAGAAATCTCTTGGAGGGCCGGGGATTTAGCTCAGTGGTTTCACCACCTGCTGTGCAAGCACAAGGACCCAAGTTCAATCCCTGAAACCAAAAAAAAGAAAGAAAGAAATCTCTTGGAAAAAAGGGACAGTGGGCCTGTAAACCCTGCTACACGAGAGGCTGAGGCAGGAGGATTCTAAGTCTTCCTGGCATATTCTGTCTTTCATAGCATGTCAAAGGGAAAAAAAAAATTAATTTGGTCTCAGTATATTGCATTTTTCAGAAAGATGCTGCAATCTTTTTCAGTTTCATTCTGTTAAACAGCCTGAAATCCGGATCTCTTCAGCTGACTCTTCTCTACTGATACATATTTAAAAAGAAATGCTCTTTACAGGTGATAAAAAAATCTGGTAAGCTCAAAGCACTTTGTTACAAGGCATTCATAATTTTATATTCATTCCAAAACTGTATTTCAGCCAAAATAGACACTGCCTTTTTCCCTAATAAGGCTGTCCTGTCACCCGCCCCTCGCTCCCCCCTCAAACTTCTGATCCACTGACCAGGACACACTATAGCTTTTTCTCACTATAATTTCTCAGTAAGATTCCTACTTTAAAAGGCTTCCATTTCAAAGGCTTCCATTACTCTTAGGATAGAATCTACACTCTGTAACATAATCTCCAAAGCCCTGCATGGCCTGGTCACTTCCTACGTTGTAGGCCACATGGACCTTTTCTCAAATACCCCAAGAACCAGGTTCTCTCTCCCCTGCTGTAGGGCCTTTGCGAGACCAGCTCCCCCAGCTGCACTGCTCCCCACAGTTACAGTCATCTTTTCTATCCCAGATGCCTCCGTATGTTCCCAATCTAAGTTACACCAGGCTGTTCTTGCTCTCCACAAAGAATTCTGTACTTTTCCTATACTTTTTTGTATTTGTTTTCCTGTTCTTATTTGTGTTTTAGAAAGCCTATTCCATCACACCATTGTGAGAATGTTGAGACTGTGCCTGTCTGATTTACCCCTTAACTTAACTTCATCCAGCACCAACCTCAGTCCTTAGCACTCTGTGAACTTCAATAAATGCTTGTCCAGTGAATAAGAAAGGGGGTGGAGTGGCAAAGGACAATCTATTATTTCAATTTGTTATCTATGACCCAAATGCCTCACAATCCTAAATCCAACTACATCATAGACTATACAAGGAGATTCTATCATTATATAGTCTATATTTGCCCTTTACAAGGAAGGGAAGGAGGGAGGGGAGGAATAAGGAAGACAGGAGGAGAAGCCAGCCTTCCCCTTAACCCCCTTAACACTCATTTCTCTGACCCAATTTTACAGGAACACTAAAGAGAACTGAGTGCCCTGTTCTAATACTTGCTTCCTGTTTTCACTTGAGTTCATTTTGATCAGGCTTTTAAAGTCTCACTGCTCTCCAGAAGCTGCTCCTGTTAAAAGTTATCAATGACATCCACCCTGAAATACACAAGAATCAGTTCTAAGACAGGCACTTTAAACTGTAAGGCAGGTACCACTGTTGTTATGGCTTATATCCAGATGTTCCTCCAAACCCTCATGTGCTCATAGGTGGGGCTTTGGGGAGTGACTGGATCGTAGGTGTGTCGCACTGGATCATGGGTGTGCAATACTGGATTAGCCCACTGATTGGTTTAGCACAGTTCTGAGTGTGGATGATGGATTTACTGAAGCAGAAAGACCCACCCTGGGTGTGGGTAGCACCAACCAATAGGCTTGTAGCCTGGATGGAATAAAATGGGAAAGTAGGAAAGCTTGCTGCTTCCTGCCTGCCATGCCATGGACTGTTTCTCCTTTGCAATGCACCCTGGCTATGCTGCCCTGCTTAAGGGCCAGCTGCCTCTGGACCGAAATCTCTACAAACTGTAAGCTAAAATAAATCTTTCCTCCTTTAACTTGTGGGTGTCATGTATTTTGTCCCAGCAACGAGAAGTAACTAAGACAACTATCATCCCCAAAGAGACATTCACTGCATTTATTCAAGGCCACTTGGACAAAAAGCAGCTGAGGCAAATTTTACTAAACCTAATGTTCAATTTCCAGTCCTCACCTTACTGGACCTATCAAGCAAGACTGACAGATGCTCACTTCTTATTTGAGAACTTTCTCCGCCTGGTGTCCAGGCTCTCATACCCTGACTCTCCTCCTACTACGTTGGTCATTCCTTAGCCTTCTCGTTTTCCCAACTTCTGCATGCTGAGCAACTCGGGACTCACAGTTTACACTTTTCTTTCCCACTCTTTCCATTTTTTTTTTTTTTTAAACACTACAGGTGGTTAGACCCAGGGCCTTGTGCAAGTGCTCTGCCATTGAGCTATACTCCCATCCCTTTTCATTTTACTTTGAGGCAGGATCTCGCTAAATTGCCCAAGCTGGCCTCAAACTCAAGATCTTCCTACTTCAGCCTCCAGAGTAGCTGCGATTACAGGTGTATACCACTATGCCTGGCTCTCTCATACTTTGTTTCTATTCTGTATTTCCTCCTCCCAGTCATTTTAATGGGTCCTGTCACTATCAATATACCTGCAAGAACATGACCTCCTCCCTGAACTTGAGGTACACACATTCAGCCATCTCCGCAAATGTCTACCAGCCATTCCACCCTGAGTATTACCACCTACTGCTGGACCCTCGATGTTCCCCCACTTAAGTCTTTCTGACAGCCTTCTTCATCTCATCTCAATGAATGATAATCTGATCCTCAAGTCATCCTGGGCTTTTCTCTTTCCTCCACATTTCATGTGTAATGCGGCAGCAAACGTTGTTGTCTGTCTGTCTCCTTCCTGTCTGTCTGTCTCTTTTCCCTCCGTACTGGGGATTAGGCCCAGGGCCTTCACACTGAGCTACATTCCCAGCCCCTTTTTAATTTTTTTTGAGACAGGGTCCCTCTAGATCACTAAAATGCCCAGGCTGTGCTGGAACTTGCAATCCTCCCGCCACAACGTCCCAGAGTACTGGCATTACAGACTTGTGCCACCATGGCCAGCAACAGTATTACCTCTCTCTTAAAATGTACCTGAATCCTACCTATTCCTCCCTACTTCCACACTGCCCCTACCATCATCCACGTCTCCTTCATATCTGGAATACTGCAGTAGCCTCCTAGCTGATTCTTCCCATACCTTGCCCTACCCAGTGGTGGCGAACCTATGGCAAGTGTGTTTTTTGTTTTTCTTTTGAGACAAAAGACGTTATGTATGAATTATTTTTTCTAAACTAAAACTTCAGTATTCAGGTTTAATTGCAGTGTTGATACTTTGCAATAAATAAGTGGGTTTGGAGTTGCAGTTTGGGCACTCATCTGTAAAAGGTTCACCATCATTGCCCTACACTGTTTTCAAAGAAAAAGGCCAGAATGGAATCAGTGAAACAAAGCCACATCATACCAAGTCTTTGCTCAAAATCCACCATTCCGAGTAACAGACACAACAACGGCCTCCAAGGTCCACGACTGGCCGTGTGTTATCACTCTTCCTCAGCCTACTCTCCTCTTCATGGCTTCTCGCAGATGCAGACACACTCATGCTCATGCTCTTCCCTTTCTACACAGCATGCTTCTCTACAGACACCTACATGGCCCACTCTCCCCCACTGCAGGTGTAATACCTTGAGTGTCAATCTGCCAGGAAAGCCTGCTCTAGCCATGCAACTGGGTACACAGCTCATTACCACCATTACACTTTCATTCCCTTTATTTAGTTTTGTTTATTCATCCATTCATATTCCCTCCAACATATACCACCTTCCTTATGACCCTTACCAGAATTTAAATTCCTTAAGAGGGATTCTTTTGTTCTCTACTATATCCCCCTCTTGACAAGAATATGTCTAGCATAAAACAGGTCCCTGATACAAACTCAACAATAAATGGTTGGAAATAATACACTAATCCTACCATAAGCAGGCAATTCAGCTGCATCATCAGGCTATTTGGTTCTGAAGAGTAAGCTCTGGCAGAGCTTGGACCACGTCAGCTACAAATTTGCACAATGACTTGTCCACACCATACAGTAATGATGACAATCGTATCTGCTCCTCCAATTTTAGTTTCCTCATATTTGTTACTATCTTTAGGAATTAAGCAGAATGTTTAAAAATATGAAACTGGGATCTCAATGGTCAATACTAAATATTCTCAAATTACCCTGCAATTTCCCAGCTGCTTCCCTCTTGGAGGGGGTTGAAGGTAATGTGTCTACTTACTGATGCTTTGCCTGTGTCTGTGTTGCCTTGATTGAACTGGAACAGAGCTCTCACTACTCTGTTATTTTCTGCACTGCCTGTACGGAGACATGCAGATGCTTAAAAGGCATGGTGGGAAGAAGAGTGTGACAGAGTCCACTTGTGGCTGCTTTCTTTTTGCAAAGCACTTCAGTAGTCTTCTCAGGCATATCTCTAATTGCCTCAAAGGCATATCTCAGTATACACTCAAGGATTTTTAAATTCCTCTTCATGAGCAAATAAACCTGTCTTTCAAGAGCTCCGTGACAGTCACAGGACTCCTATCTTAAATTCCCAGATTCTAAGCTCCCATTTGTTCTTATTGAACTCCTTGTTAGAAATTTTTATCAATCTTTTTGTGCTTAACTAAATTTCATAGTAAGGCTATAGCAAAATATATTCTGACACAACTATTCCACTCTCAAACACTATTAAACTTTGTTTGATTTCACCAAAAAATTCAAAATCATTTGCATTATTTCCTAAACTTTCAACTATAGTTTAAACAGAAACTATACATTTGTAACATACGTTACACTGGTGTTTTTCTTGAAAGGTGATATAAATCAACACTGGAAATATTT